TTTGCCCTCAGACCTATCAGCTTTCATAAGGAGATGTCACCAAAAAACTTCAGGCCTCATGTGTTCATCACAATGGCAAAAGCAAGAACGAGCTGCAGCAACCTCAAACTTCTCTTTGCTTGGAACCGTTGCCATGCTCTACAAACCTCTCTTGCAAGCTGTCGACATGTGGCCCCTTCCTTTGCAAGTCGTTGTTCAAGGCGCTTTGCTCAAACAGACTCCGACTCCAACCTGTTTCCAAGCAAAAATGTCTACCAACATCAAGAACGGCCAACTGCAAGCAGCCTGTATTTGCCATACGTGCCCTGCACGCACCCAAACTCGCAGAAATATCTGTGACATTGTGCCATTGGGCCCTCAGACCTATCAGCTTTCCAAGAGAGTTGCCATCAAGAGGCTTCAGGTCTCTTCAGTCATCAAAGAGGCACTCAATGCTGCAACCAAACAAGGGGTTTCTAATACCAATTGGCACTGGCTGGCTGACCCCACGCAAACACGGTGGAAACTCTAGACCTTTGCAGACTCTAACCATCCACACATTTCATGATCTGCAACATGGCGAGACATTGTCTCAAGTGAAAATACAGACTACAAGGTCAGCACAAAAGAAGAGTCCTTGATTAAAGCTACTTTAACTGTTCATAAACGGTTCAATATTGAGGGAGACCCCCCATACCGAGAGCAGCTGGGCGCCCGGCCAGACTTCGAACGACCCCTCAGGAAGAGGTCGCGAATGGGATTGATATGGATTGATGGAATGCCCCAAGTGGATAGCCAGGGTTGCCTGTGTCAACGTCCAAAAGGAAGATTCAGAGCCAAATCCACTGGAGTGTCTTCAGTGACCAAAATGTTACACAAACACAACCGCAAAGCACTGGTAAGATGTTGCATGGCAAAGCTGGGTCGGACCAAAAACCAAACCGTCAGGATCAGGCTCATGTCAGACCGTCGGACCAACATGGTGGTTGGATATGTACAGGATTGTGCAGGTGGGTCTAGTGGGTATTGTGCAAGTGCTTTCTAGCGGCAAATTGTCTACATCTAACAAATATATAGATACATCCTTTGTATATAGCATGAGCGTTGTGGAATCATTAGTCCCGCTGCTTCACAGACCTGCTTGATGGACAAGTCTTTCTACACCCACCTTGGAACCTTGTGGACAACCTGTTTGCTGGGCATCTGCAATGGATGCGGTCTCTCATCGGGTGTTCCTTCTAGGTGGCTTACCACTTGCCCAGTTCCTGCTAAGACAGCGGCTTCATCACGTGCCATTTCACCACCCCCCCCCTTTCTGGCCCTGAGCCAGATGGCGAAGCGACCACTTGGCTAACATGCTTCATGATCATTCACATGCTTGCTGAATACACTTGCGGAAGCAGCTGATGCTCAAAAACAGCGAACTCGCTTGGTGAGTGGAGTGGACTGGTTTTCGTACATAACTATACCATAAAGTTTCAACTCCCAGGCAATCATCTAAACCAAGCAAAGAAAAGAACATGTCACCACCATCTCGCCAGCGAATTGAAGCTCCACTGACATGACTATCTGCTCCTTCCGGTAGACGTGCCATTGTGCCACCCTGCGTGAGGTCAAGTTCGCACGGGGAACGAGTGGCCCCGGAGCACTGGTCGGGATCGTCTTGCGATGGCAATGTCCAATACATTCTATTCCGTCTATGACGCATCAGACGTTTGCTCTTCGCCGTTCTATCCTGGAGTCAATCCATCCAGGACCATCCAATGGGTGTCCAATGGACTAGCCTGCACTACTTCGGGATCTCTATTGGACACCCATTGGATGGTCCAAGATATTTTGTAGCATGTGGCATGTGATTTGCGTTCCAATGCATGCGTGCTGCACATGGATCAGCTTCCTGGTGGGCACGACAGAACTGGTTCAACTGTGAATGCTCAACCAGCTTCGGAGCAGCGGGCAGACCGCCCAAAGTTGACAGACTTCAGATTCACAAATCCTTTGCCGCAAAAGCGAGAGGGCAGGGTGCTTTGAAGCATCTCAATCTTGCTACACAGAACAAGTCAGTGCTACTCTGTAGCACATCTACATCTTCGCATCATCAGTCCTACTCTTCTTGCACAAAGTGCACTCCGCCTGTACCTGTGTCCATGACTGTTGTTCCGTGGACCATGAAAATTCTCCCATAGGGAGGGCCACAGCAAGTCGCACTTGAACTGGAAGGGACAGTGCTTGGTGACACCCGGGAGCCCGTTGTTTGTTTTGTTTTGTTTTGCTTGCTTTGTTTCACTGCTGCCAGGGCTTGAACCCTGATCCCCTCTTAGAGGAGATAGCAAGCATTGGAAAAGATTGAGTGTCCTAAGAATATCTAAGAATCTCGGAGCAGACTATCCACATGCCGGCGCAAAAGAGGAGAAGCCGTGTTCCCTCACATTGAGGAGCACACTCATCAACGGATGCGATCTTATGGGCTGGTCTGAAAACCATCTCTCCTTCACAAATCAGTAGTTATACAGTTGCCAGATTGGCCAGAGAATGCGATTCATTATGACTTTGTGACCTGCCTCAGCTCCGATGCTTTTTCCATCCGCAGCTCCAGCAAGCTCCGCCCATCACCGACGAAGGCAGCGTCGAAGGCATCGAGCCGTCCGCGGCTTGAGCTACCGCGTAAGCCTGGGGAAGAGGAGTTCCTTTCGGGGAGAAGTTCCTGGACGTTCAAATGGTGTGGACTGAAAGATGGCCTGTCCTGGTGCTTTTGTAATCAATTTCATGACTCGGTCGTGATTCAAATCTTTGAGACTGGGTAGTGGTACATCCTTGAGATATCTTTGGGAAAACATCAGGATCTTTACAGAAACTCGGGCTTCTTGAGAAACATCAAGTTACAGTAGGAATCCGTGAGTCGAAAAGACAAATCTGTTCATGATCCTCATCTCACCAATGACTTCCAACATCCAAACATGGTCTGGCAGTGTTTCAACCCCCTGAAAATCCATTTGGTCACGTCCCAAACATGAACCAACACTTTGAGTCATCACAACCTCCCTCAGGTGCCAAAAGGAATCATTGTCCCTTTTCCATCTACTAGGAACAAGAAGCTACTAGGTGGAGGCCATCGCTATTAGGTTGGAGGCCATCGCTACTAGTAACAAGAAGCTAGTAGCAAACGAGGGCCTAGTCGCATTGCCCTCGGCGTCCCAAATCCCCGCCTTCGCAGGCGGAGCGGACGAAGTGTTGGATCTCCTGGGGCGCGACTTGGAAGGTTCTCCGGAAGGCACGAGCACCTGGCGAAGAACAACGAAGAAAAACGACAGCGTCCCGTCGCGAAGAAAACAAAATTTACGAGGAGAGAGGCCTGGCTCTGAGGCCTGCCCTGGCGGTTGGGGGTTTGGGTTCGGGTGGGGTGTGGGCTGAGATGGTGATGGCAGAACGGAAGCTTCTTAGTTGTGGCTTTGGGGTTTGATGCTCTTGTTTTGGAGTGGACACGATCCCAGGGGGTGCCACAAGCCAATATGGACATCGAAAACGGAGCGCAAGGATTTTCCTTGACAAACTCATGGTTTTCGACGTTACTCTGCAGTGGACCTACCCACCACAAGACAGCAACCTGCTGGTTTTCATGGAAGGGAGCGGTCAAAAGATTTCTAGTCGCATGGCTATGCCGCATGGCATGCCGCATGGCATGCCGCATGGCTCATGACTCCTCAAACAAATCAGCAGGTCACCTCATCAAAGGCGACAAGGTCACATCTTTCCATTGGCCACGCGGAAATCATCGTTTCACCACTGCTACATCTGTCTGTGCATGTGCCAAGTCGAGCTTGAGAGCAAGTCGGAGGTAAGGAGGGGTTCGGCAACTTTGATGAGCCATGGGCACAACCAAAGATGTCGCTGTCACAGGTCTCCTCAAAGGCATCATAGTCAAAACATAACAATTTGCAACTTCAATGTAAAGTGCTGCTTTTTTGTCCATCTCGGTGACAAGGAGGTTTCCCAAGAAACCTTTTTGAGACTTCTCGCGGACTCCTTGCAGATGCCAGGAATCCTCCACATTAGAGATTCGCTACTGACACGGTGATCATTGCCATTTCCTCACAGAAGTGTTTTCTGACGGTAGCTCATATGGTAGTTATGGCTCACAAATAGAATACTGTACCCTTAAACAAAAAAATGATCAAAAAATAACCATAGTAGTAACAAGAAGCTACTAGTAACAAGTGCATCGCTTCTAGTAACAAGTGCCTTACTAGTAGTAACAAGAAGCTACTAGTAACAAGTGCCTTATAAAGCTTTCGGATCCCAGGGTCTTGTGTGGTTTGATTAGCATGAGGGACGATGAAGAAATCCCGAGAAGGATGCAATATCCTTGGTGATGGGCTTTGGTGAGGATTATTTTCGGTTGATTCCGATCACCGTGGAAAAGGTCAAGCTTTTCAAGGTCAAGGAGTCAATGCAGTTTTGACATGTTTTGACTATTTGGATAATGATTGGGTGGCAACGGGCTTCGGCCCCAAATCTCACCAAAGACACCAGGTCACAGCATTCTCCCACAAGTCCCTTTGTGATTGACTGGTGGATCTACTAAGCCACGAGCCGCGCCTCGCCGCAGCTGGGGCAGAACACATCTGCGTGGCTTGAAGGTCACGTGCTCTTCAGCCTTCAAAGGGCCCCGCCGTTTCGGGGTCGGTCGCGTCGGAAGACCAGTAGGAAAAGGAAAGCCAGCCGCACAAACCCGCGGCGTAGAGCGGTTTCTCAGATTCTCGGAAAGATTGTCAAATTATCCATGGGCAAACATGTTCTAAGACTCACAAGACTTCATATCCTGCAGAAGAACATCATGAATTGATATCTGAATATGTGTATATAATATTATACAATATATAATACGGTACACTCCAAACCCATGAGCAAAGGGAAATGGTCTTGTTCTTTTGAACAGGTCATGAAAGGGGACGCCCCCTTCGTATGTTGGTACTCGGGGCCTCCAACTGAGCCACATGACAGAACACCGAGAATAGATGAGAATAGCATGATTTTCTTCCTAGTAGCAATGCCCTTTGCTCCTAGTAGCTTCTTGCTCCTAGTAGCGATGCCAGGAGCCGCTAGTAGCTCCTAGTACGTAGCGATGCCCGAACGGACGCCTGGGTCGCCTGGGTCGCCTGGGTCTCCATCCCAAAAGTCACCGGCACCCGGAAAAGTCAGCCTTTTGGAGATGTTGCGCGAAAAACTTGCATCGAAGGGTAAGCTCTTCGATGGGCAGCTTCCTGGGATTCTAAAGGAGACAGATGATCCAAACCAAGGAGGTTTTGTCAAAGGAATCACCAGCAAGACATGCTCTTGGAGTATGTAGCCGGATTGTATAAAAGAATGGCCAAGCCGAGGGCGAAACAGGGCGTCAACCTCCAGTTTCCGGGAGGGTAGACCACCAAAAAGGAAACACCCTGCCAGACTACCTGCTGGATAAGTCTCCAAACATCCAGATGGCACCCGGATTCAACGGGTCATCCTCCGCTACTGACTGATTCAAACTGATTCAAACCATCACCGGTCTTCTTTCAAGCAATCTCCAATTCAGGCTCACTCTAGAACCCCAAAGGCATCTTCTCCTACCAGGGTGGGACTGTCCACATGAGCATCACTGTCAAATTCATTGAAGCAACAAAACTCTTGCGACTGAGAAGAACCCTACCTCTTCATTGAGAACTCTCAAGACTATGATCATCTGTGAAGTGCCCCAACCTCAATTTCAAGAACAGGCAAAATGCCTGCCCGAATGTGGGACCATCTCATTTCATCTCCTTGCAAAAACCCATTTCAAGTAGTTATACAGAAGTCCACCCTGCCCAACATATCCAAGCTCGGCCCCTCCTCTGATCATCTTCCAGGCAACTGTGGCTGGGAGAGCATCGCAAAGGACAGGAGTAGAAAGCCGCTCCAACAGGGCTTCAGGTATTCCACCTGGTCTCCTGCCATGGAGGATGGAGGTCTTTTTTGTTGTCTTGCTTTTATAATGAATCAATACCAACTGTTCTTGTTCACTCCTCCTATGTTATTCTGTTTTTGCGCTTCATTGTTAATTGTCGCCTTCAAAAAGAAGTGTCAGCCTACATTGGCAAAAAATATGCTGTCTTCTATATACTCCAAGCTGAGAAAAAGCTATGGGGTCTATTGGAAAGGCAACCGCCTGTTGTTGTCTCCAAAAGAAGCATTCGGTTTTGCGACTCCTTGGCTCAGGGCTATGTAACTCACCGAATCATTGACACATACCCCATTCCTTCAATGGCCTGACCTGGAACCAATCCAGCAAACATAAAAAGACAACCTTTTCCCACCCCTCTGAAACACTAGGATGGTCCATACTGGAAGAGTACATTCCATTTCTGGTCACGGGTCACTGGTCCAGAAGAACCTGTCTGTTCCACTCGAATGCAAAACTTGAACCTGACAAATTCCCTTAGTGATGAATCATCCTTCCCGACACCACCACCACCAATAACCCACCCGCAACCCCAATTTGAACAGTTTTTTTCTCAGGTCAACTCTTGTGAAGGGGGGGGCAATGACGGCAATGCTCCTTTGTTGGGGGGGCCATTCGTGGTTAGGTTTTGTAGACCATGGTTATTGGACGAAGGAGGGCTTTCGATGCCGGGGACAAATTGATGCCATGTCCACCTGCATCTGTCCTCAAAGAAGGGCGGTTTTTTCTACTTTCAATATCTTTCAATCACAAATACCCCCCAGTCTATTTGGGAGCGGCTCGAAACCAATCCACTGCCAAATGCTCTTTGTGGAGATATTGAACAAGTTCCCAACATATCCTCCAGTCCAAACACTCAAGTGAGTAGCCATATCGTTGAGGTAGCCAGCCCAACCTGTTTGTTCGGCTCCTTTGGACCAGGGGTAGCCAGCCCAGACCTGTTGAAAGTGCTCCTCGGCGAAGCGTCGAGACCGCACGGCGTCGTACCGCCGTAACGCCGGAGGCGGCCACCAGACCAAGTGTTTCGCTCGAGAAAAGCCGACGGTGCCGCAGTGGCTGGGCGTGAAGATCTTTCTTGACAAACCACAGATGAGATAAAAAGGTAGGGATCCAAGTTCCAATGGTTGTTTGTGAGGGAGAACAGGATTTTGACATCTTTGTGGGCCTACTCCTCATTTGTAGGAGGGTACACAATGACAGTGGTGCCTTGGATGTTAAACCCAGGTGCCTTGGGTCACTTCCGGGGTGCGTTAGATCCACGGTGCAGTCCATGGGGTCACCACTTCTGCCAAGCATCCCAATACTGGGTGCGCAGGGGAGCATCCGCTTCATCGCAGTTCCAGCATTTGAGGCGGACCCGCCACAACTTGAAGAACTGCTTCCAGAAGGGGTCGCAGTAGCCTGAGGACATGTGTGATCCATGAAATCATATGAAACCCACTGATTGTACCTAAAGCACCAACATAACCCTTGACAACCATTGGTTCGAAGTATTCGGATATTTTTTGGCCAAACCTGGCGAATCAGTCAAGTTGTGTTTGTTTCTTGCACGTTACATTTACTACCCATATATATATATATTATATAATATATGTATGATCATGTTGTTTGACCAAGAAACATCAAGAAACCATGAGATCCTTGGTCCTTGGATCACTCGGACGATAACTTTCAAGGGCGTTAGAAGATACAGGTTGGATCAAGCACAAACATCTAGATTCCTGGACTTAGGCACGGGGCTGTGTGGTGACGTTCCAGGTGTCTTTCTGGCAACAAAACAACTCCGCAATAAGTTGCTCTCCGGCCCGAAACCACATGAAGCTGCTGTTTCATTTTGGATTGTCCCGTCTTTCGTTGACACGTCACCGAGCTTCGCTTCTCGAACCTTCCGACATCCAAAGAAGGCTTCGCTCCACCAGCGTCGAGTGTAGGGTGAACGACCAGAGTTGGTCGAGCTCCACGGGATGGGCTGGCCCCAAAAAGACAAGATCCCCAAAGAGTCCATGAGGTAGGTCCTAAAATCGCTATAAAGTCATACCGAGTCATACCGTATCATATCATATCAAGTCATATCATCATATCACTCACCAGGCACAGTGGGGCCTAGCCTCAGCGAACAGATCATGCCTCATGCTTGCAACTCTCAGTGGGTCAGGCACGAAGGCTCCATTTGGTTCTTTCTCATGTCGTTTGGCCCACGAGACCTTTCGGTGAAGTCCAAGAAACAAGCTTTTGGAAAGACCCGGGCAGGAATCCACGCGAAGTTCTCGTCGGGCACGTCTATCTCCTCATCTCTCCCGATTGGATCCGAAAGCACGGTTTGCAGATCTCGGACCATTTCGGGTGAGTTCTTGGCCCGGTACTCGGGTGCACAACAACAGAAGCGCTTGGAGGCCAGAAAGTTGCACAGAGGTGAAGGTTCAATAATCTTAAAACTATGTACAATGTAGATACTGTGGAATACAGTGGATATGTTTTATTAACTTTTGGCTGACTTTTGAGCTTTTGTGACTCCAATGGTTACAATTGCTCAACACTGCTTGCTGGCGGGCACTCTGGGGAGCTGGTTCGACGAAAACGCCACTGCCGTGACAAGTTCCTAGTAGCTTACCTCCTTATTAAGTAGGCGCCTTCACCGATCCAAAGACTTTGTCTCACCGAGTCTCTCGAAAGAAGACCAAGCCAAGGCCCGACAAGATCCGCGCGTGGCGCGCCACCCTGGCTTCACTCTTTCAATCGTCAGGGATTGAAACTGATGCCTTTCTTGGGATATCTTGGGATTCATGATCAAATGTCAGGAGACAACTGAGACAACCAAATGATCAGATTCACTATCAACTGTTCGGGGAGGATTGATCACTATTGAGTTACGGGGATCATTGGTGATGGACACTCTTTCCTACACCACAGCAAAGCTGCTCTAATATCTCTAATAAGGTCTAGCTGCTCGTTCTCAGTGATGCAGGATGATGAGGAGTCATCCTGATTAATCTGACAGAAGGTAGCTGCAGCCCATGCAGGAAACCCTGTGCCAACAAGGAATGCCAAAGGTCCCAAGAGATTTTCCAAGTGGGGGTAGCCTGAGTGAACTACCACCCAAATTCAAGGTCTACCTTCTATCTCACAGGCAAGGGTCGGGTCCCTAATGCACCCACCGCACTCAGGACATCTTGGGACTCTAGATGCAAGGCCTACCTTGTTCACCATCGTTCACCGGAAATTGGAACTTGCACGACGTCACGACACGTCTTGCGCTCTTGGTCTTCTCGGTGTTCGACTCCGTCACACCCGATGTTTGCTCAGGCAGTCGCTGGGCTTCCGCCAATCCGAAGTCACCGCCGTAAATGAAGGCCACCCGCTGGCGCATCCGCGATCAGCCAAGGCTCGAACAAAAACCGTCGGTGAAAGGATCCAGCAGTTGAAAACGACTTGTGGTTTGGGAGACATGAACTGGAGCCTGGTGAGTGTTCAGAAAATGAACAGAATGTCCAACCTGGGGGCCTTCAAAATGAAGCGTTTGTGGGGAGTGATGGGGTTGCTTTGACTCACATCCAGGATCCACATGACCAGTAGAATAACAAAACCCACAAAACAACGGCGCACACACGCAAGAGATAGATGTGCAGTACTCCATTGCCGCCTTCTACCCACTGCAACAATCGACAACAACCTTTGGTTCAGCCTTCAGATTCCACCGACCCACCGACCAGATGTGACCAATGTGGTCAAGCAAAGCATCGATCCACCGACCTTGCTTCGACCAAAGACCATGACGACAAGGCCCACGATTCGAGACATCAGAGGAGTGAAAGTGCCTAAGAATCGATTCTTATACATGGGGACATGGTGGTCATCTAGTTGGTTCACTACTGAAGGCCTGGCCCAAAACCTCATGGAAAAGAAATGAAAAGAAGCACCAGGTGATCTGAAGAGGACAAGGTGTGTCTGTGTTTTTGTGAGTTTCTTCCCACTTAAGAGAACCTCCCAGTCATCTCAGTCGTCTCAGTCCTGTCATCTCTGTCATCTCTTGTCACCAAAGATCTCAGAAAACATACCAAGTACTTCGATCTCCCCACTGAAAGCCACCCGGAGGCTGGTTTGTTTCCCCTTAGACCATTGAAAAAGCCTACCTCCAAATCCCAACTTGCTGAAAACAAATACATCTCTTCTATCAACCAAGCGAATAGTTTCAAACTCGTAAGAATTCCTGGGCATTTCCTGGAGAGGCAGCAAGTGACCAGAGCGGCAATGGCCAAAACATATCCGATGAGTCCGGTCATGTCGGGAACGACCAGGACCGGGACCGCTGACAAGCCAGGTGAATTGTTGCGGTTCTTTTGCACATCCAACTGCCACAGTTCAAAAGGCAACATGGAAGCGGAACAAATTCATATGGTGGGGCAGAAAAATGTTCTTCCACAGGCCATGAAGGCGGCCGTGAGTGATCCGTTGACCGACCCTTTTTGGGGAGGGCATTCTATTAATTATACAATCTATATATATATATATGTACAGTATATGTATGTTGTTGTTTGCACAACAAGGTCCCCGCTTCATTCTGGAAACGCACCGGTGGCCCTCCACCTTCTGAAGATTCTTCCCACCCCTCGCACCTCCCCAGGATATCCCGCAGCTTGCACGTCATCGTAGAATGGCAAGGGCTCGCAACCCTGGGCAGGCCCCACCTGCACTCGAGACCGGTTCCGGGCGGTGAGACGATCAGTGAGGAGTCGGATTCGGAGGCGAGTGAACAACGATCCGGTGGAGGAGGGCCCAAGGAATGCTTTTCAGGAATCCCAGGTGAAAACAACCACACAAACGGGGATGTGACCAGGAAAGTCTCCTGCATCTGGAAAGAACACATGAAAGAATTATATAGTCGAGATTAAGATCATGTCCCGATTCTGCCCTCCAAAGTGCACCTGCCTCAGCAAACACAGGCGACAGCTTGCAAAAGCTAACATCAAGTTGAAACTGTTGACTTTTCGAAGAAGCTATCCAAATTTCCAAACTCCAGAGTGCCTCTCTCCAAACACATTGTCCTAAGCTGCCATCAAGCTTCCTGCTGGCATGACTCATGGAACAACCACCTGAGGTTGGGCCTTTCTCGCAGGGGGGGTTCACCAACCCACTCTTTCTCCACGCCCGCCACCAACCTTGCCGTAGATGATCCCATCAAATTCGCGGCCTCGTGCGCCCATGGGGCCGCGATGTCCGAGATGAGCAATGGCCATGGCAACCCCCAAAGGGATGGTTTGGTGGGAAATACAACTTCAACTATATTTCCAGTATGAAAGAGTCGTTTGCGTGGTGCACAACCTACAGGGCCCTGAGGGGCTCTGACGTACAATGACGCCGGCTTGTCCTACGAAAGATTGCGAGCTACCAAGCCCTTTGGGATCGCAATGCTTGTGACCCAATATGTCCATGGTGTACCATGCTGCAAACTCGAGAACATATGCGCCAAGACAGACCAAAATGGAGCTTGTTTGCCAAGCCAAGCTTTTTTTGTGCCGGAGGTGGTCTATCGAGTGGTTTCTGCCGGAATGCAGATCATTCACCGTGCAGAAAATTGCCATTGAGGTTGCACACATGAGGGAAGCAAATGCTTTTATATATACACAGTGACCACACTTTGTACAGATTCGATCAGATTCGCAATATGTAGTTGACATCATACATGACATGGGAATGATTGCACCGTTTGCACCGCAGGAGTGCAAATGCGATCATTCCCACGTCAGTCTCCGATGTTCAGTACAAAAATTAGGTCATCTGCAGAGAATTGATGACGGGGACAGGGACTGCAAAACAACCCAAGGCAGTTCTGGGCGCCACGAAATTGAATTCTCATTGAACGGCTGCATTCGCTGTTGGCCAAACCCACCCAAGCCACCAAAACAACGCTCAAACGCTGAGCTCTGGTGCGCTGCAGGGCTTTTGGAACATCCTCACGTTCGGCTTGTGAAGCCAAGTCCTGGCACTAGTCACAAGGGCATCGCTACTAGTAACCAGAAGCTACTAGTAACAAAGGGCATCGCTACTAGGAACAAGTGCGTCGCTATTAGTAGCCAATTTGCTACTAGTAGCAAGAAGCTACTAGTAGCAAAGGGCATTTCTACTAGGAGCAAGGACGCTACTAGTAGCTTCTTGTTACTAGTAGTACACACCCTTCTCCACTGCGTTTCCCAACGTCCCGACGGCGTCGATGCAAGTACCACAGCGGAGCGGGCTGGAGCTCATGTGGCATGGCATGATGCTGCAGTTTGGGTCCTGGGGCTCTTGGAGAAGCAATCGTAACATTTTTCAGACAAACCCCAATGTAAACCGCCACTAGGGAGTGGTCAGCCAAGAGTTTCGAGGGGGAAGGCATCTCAGCCATTGATGTGGACCATTTGGGGGGGGAGAGTTTTCGGACTCCGAGCCCAAAGAGAGCTCATGAAGGTGATAAGTGATAAGTAACCAGTAACCTGATGGGAAAAGCAAACAGCTCAGCGCATCAGTTCAGTGTGAAGACATGTAAAGACGTTGTGCTGTCTTCTTGGCCATGATTTTCAGAAACCGATCGAATTGGCTGCACTACGCCTCTTGTGTCCTGTTGATCCCTAAGGCTGGTTACCTGTACTGCCTGAAAATGGGAAATGTCATGCCCCCATGCACAACCACCTGAGGAGAGCAGTCTATTGGGACATGCTCACCTTCAGATGCTTGAAGTGTGTAGCTTTGTCTCATGCAAACATGCTCTATGCTTAGTAGTTGCATGTCAGCAATGGGGACGAATAGCTCCAACATTCCAGAAAGATTGCCTTGTTTTTTCCGACATGGAAAGCCTGCATCCATTATAAGAAGGACCTCTACTGAAAGTTCTGCTGCATTGAGAGGATACCACCAGGGTTGTTATGGACTGAATCAGGTATTGCAATGTATTGCATGTGCTTTCCACCAGCAGCATCTTCTATCAGGGAGTGAGTCCAAAAAAAACAAGCATCCTATGTACTCGCAGCCAGTTTTCCTCTCAAACAGGCACCTTGACGCTCAAGCGCCGGGCATAGGAAAAAACCATAGCCGTACATCCTGGCAGGCTTCGCGAAAGAAGCGACCTGTGGAGCACAAAAAACAACGCCGCTACTAGGAGCAAGTGCATCGCTACTAGGAGCAAGTGCCTTACTAGTAGTAACAAGAAGCAAATGGAAAAATAGGACAGCTCTCCTCCCCAAAGAAACAGATTCTGGTAGAAGGAGAGCTGTCCTATTTTCAGTTTCAATGTGACTGGGTGTGACTGCGGGAACCAAAAATCAACAACACATCATGGTACTGCTCAAAGGTGTTCAGCCAAGGGATTGCGTGCTTTTTGTTTAGCGCTACCAAGTGAAAGAATGTCTACGCTTGCAACCCTCCAATTGAAAGAGGCTTTGAAATGGGCTCAATTTCCATGCCTTGTAACCTAAACAAGGGTTGCAAAAAGAGTGCGTTCAACGCTTGTGGCTTTCAGCCTCCAGTGCAAAAAGCGGTGCACAGAAGGTCAAACATCTTCGGATGTCCAGCAGGACGGCTTCGCTGTATTTGAATGATCTGTTCCCCACCTGTCAGGTGAGGGTCTCTGCCTTCCCCCATTCCTGACACAAAAACCTATAATGCATATATAACATAGAGGGCGAACAAAAGTAACAAAATAACCTCACCTGTGTCCGACATGTTGCTTGGATACCTCCGTGCAAACATATGGAATTGCATCTCTTTCAGTGCTCAAGTTGTTCTTTCCAGGAAACCAAGAGGAAAGCCCTGCACCTGGACCTTTGGTTCTGCATTCTGGCTTGCCTGCCGACCCATTCTGTCTGGGAACTGGTGGGTCGTCCATCTCTACCAGCTCACACAAGTGCTGGCTTTTGGACACCACTATTCCGTACGGGCTCGAGGCGAGCTGCGCATGGCTGGTGCAGCTCGCGTCAGGCTACTAACATATTGGCACCAGTATACACTTCAAAGCAAGCAAAGCGAGGTTCTTGCTAAATGGCTTTGGTACGTTGGCTTGCATTTTGGCTGCTTACCTGTATACGAGGCCGCAAGGTGGGCCTAGGACAGTGGCATATGGAGCAAAGAAAAGCGCGCAATGGCGGCCAAAGAAGCACTTTGAGTTCCTTTCGCCCGAAGGCAACCTTGCACACTCTGAATTTCCAGGGTTGCAGCGGTGCCCCGTCATGCCCTGGACCTTACTCTCAGCCGTGTCTCCATGTCGGCCAACATGTCAATATATGTCAGCAAATGTGTCAACTTAAATGTCTTCCTGCGTATTGCGGGATAAGTCGTTGGGTATGTTATCATGTATGCCAGTCTCAAACGTCCAAAGGTGCAGCAGACTCAAACGTAGCATATGTCAGTTCAAAAACCAGCTGGCACGTGCGCAAAGACGCCAAATCAGGACTCATAGGTTAGCCAGTACACTTGCTGGTAGATGCGTCGTTGTACATTGTCGGTCAGTGAACCAGCACAAATGTCAGCATGCCCGTAGATATCGCAATAGCTGCAATAGCCACATCAATACACATTGTCAGTGCCGATCGTCTCGGCAAACCGGTCTCTCCCGCACATCTTTCCACATCGATCTTTCAGGGCCGCTCATCTTTGGGATGAAGAGCTCCAGGTGTTTGCGGATTTTGAGCGGCAAAAATCTGCAGGTCTGGCAGGTAACTACAGTCCAACTACAGTAAATCACCCCAAACAAGGCTGCGCCCGGCCCGCCTTTGTCGCAAGTCCTCTTCGTGGATCCTGTCGGCCAATCGTGAATGTGGGGTTATGGCGGCTATGGCTCATCCAAATGGAGGGGTCAAAAGAATAGACTACAATCTGTGGATGCCGGCGCCCTATTGTTTCAGCCACATCCATCATGTGACGATGGGTGGACATTGAACAATGGAAACACCGTCTTGAGCTTCGGAGCCGTTTCTCAGAGTGTGTGTGTGTGTGTGTCTATCCCATTAGCAGTGCCTTGGTATTTGGTATGTACCAGAACATTCTCGCTGAGGAGGCAAGTACCCAACTATACTACGTATATACTGCTCCCAGGATTGCTTTGCGTGAGCTAGTCCCAGTAGTGGGCCAGAGTGGATCCCTCCTTTCATGGGTCATGAGCTGTTGATCAGTGATGAAGCATGGATCAAACTTGAGGGCAAGCAAGGGTTCATCCACGGGGGGTGAGGGATATCAGAGTACAGGTATCAACACCTAGTGGAGGCATCAGTACAGGTGGGCTGAGGGATGAGAGGATGAGGTTCGGTGACGATGAGACCTCCACAAATTGACCGGAGCGTGAGGGTCCCTCACAAGATGAGAATCCTTTTTGCTGAGACCACGCAACCTTGGGAATTCGAAAGCTGCAGCGGACCCGATGCTTAAAGAAAGCAAGTTGAGTCATTCTTTGCTTCACAGGAGTCGCTAAGGGGCGGGACCAACTCCCCATCTTCAACCAAGCAGCCAAGGATCATGATTCCGAGCCAAGTACCAAAAGTTGGACCTGGCAAGATCAGGAATGGCCAAGAAAGAAAGCTGCTTCGGGAATAGCCAACCAACATTCTCAATACCATCTTTTTTTCACAGTCTGTGGTTTGTTCTGTGCTTCTACAGGGACACATCTATCGCAGCAATGAAGAAACTGAACGCTTCCTGCCAGAACCTACACTACTGGTATCTACTACTGACCTTGTAGAGCCAAATGGTCTTGAAGAGGTCCGTGTTCCATGCCTATTTGGGTCGATTTCAATGACTAGACGGGTGCGTCATCCAGTCGCCTGTGCTCAGTCTCTTCCGGCCAAATGGCTGGGTTGGGATCCATGGCCTTGGGAGCACAACATGTTGCCAGGTCTGGAAGTAGGGGAGATGGATTTGTCCTAAATCTCACTGAGAACCCAACAAATGGGTTTGAACAAGACTCAGAAAATGGTACGCATTGGCTTGGGGCGATATGGTCATCTCCCGAACGCACTCGCCCAGATTGGACACGCTTCTTGCCTTCTCTACCCAGTAGATGCTTAGATGTCTATACTTCATCTGTATCTGTAGGGGGGTCATCAATGGCTTCCAGGAACAGGCCGCTTCTGGGCTACACTCGGTAAAAGCTCTGCTTAGAAAAGCCAAGGCTTGGGTGATGCACCCGGTGGACTCTGTGAAATCTAGCAATAGCCTCCAACCTAATAGCAATGACCTCCAACCTAATAGCAATGGTCTC